TTTTTTTTTTTTAAATTTTGTATTTTGCGAAGACTGCAGCGCATTATGTCTGTTCAAAAAGCAGGCTTTTTGAATTTACTCGGAAATTTAAGCGACAGTTTTTGATGGACCAGTAAATCATACTTTGGCCTGGTAACAGGGTTTAAGAACTGCTTCATCCTTTCATGTCTGCTTCACATAGTGGATAGAAGAAGAGTTTTAACAAGATTCATCGGACACACACACACACACACACACACACACACACACACATACATACACACATGCATACATATATGCAAACACACCACACAGACAATCCTGTGACAATTTGTGTTTTTTATGTAACTGTTGCACAGCACAAAGCGTATAAGAATGCGGGGGACAAGTAGAGATTGGCTTTTGAAGCTTAAAACTATTTGTTTGATAATAATATTACTCACAGTTACTGTTTGCAGGAAGTAAGTGGTATGCCAGCGTTATGTCGACCAGTGGAAGAGGGTGGTCAAGGATTTGATTATCGCCTGGCCATGGCTCTGCCGGATATGTGGATTAAGTTTCTGAAGCATTCTTCCGACGAAGATTGGGATATGAACAATCTGGTATTCACTCTTGAAAACAGAAGGTTTCAGTTGACAGTTATTAGTAAGCCGTTTGTAGCATCCATGTAGATGGGTGCCAAAGTAAGGGAAGTGTATATAAAGGGGAAAAAAAGTAACATACATGGGCGGGTCCAGGGGCGGGACGGGGAAAAGGAGGAGGGAAAGGCGATGGGCCTTTCGCCTCCCTCCAGCGGCACAGGTAGCAGTGCTAAAACTGTAGAAAACACTCTTCCGCACCCCGGTTGCTCCCATCTCTAGGAGTTCACTCCTCCCCTCCCCCCCGCTTCCCCCTCCAGGAGGCCACCTCTGGTAACATATTCTCGAAAAATACCATTTTCTTCAAGAAAGCACCATATCTACAACGAATATTATTTTTGGCTGGAACATATGTGGTTTTATATATTTCTTCGCCCATCCCCTTCTGAATGACTCTCCGATAAATAAGCGTTTTTTTTTTGATTTTACTAATTTTCTGTTTTGAAACAGTTTAAATCGCGTTTTTTGAACAGCAGCGCATGTATGATTATCTATGATCATGTAGTTTTTTTTAGATACGGTGAAAAGAATGTAGCGTATGCAGAATCGCACGATCAGGCACTGGTTGGTGATAAAACTCTCGCTTTTTGGCTTATGGACAAAGGTTTTTTTTGTTTTTTTTTTCATGAAAAGTAATTATATTTAAGTAAGCAGCTAATGAAAACGATCTCTTTAGTTGATAGCTTTAGTGATATAGCTAAAACCAACGGAAAAAAGAAGCTGAAGTTCAACAAAAAGCTGGGAATTGTACGCTGTTTTAGAAGCAGGGTTAAGCACTGTAGAGTCGTATGAAAGCGAATGACATACATACAGAATATAGGAGCTCCAGTAAATATATGAGGTCCTGGCCGCGCGAGATGGGGGGGGG